TAAATATTCTAACCACTGTTTGGTGTCTTTATTGTTTGAGAAAACCTATGTTTCTTTGACAAAAACAAATCAAGATCTTGAATTTAAATTTCATAGTATATTCTCTCCACCAGATTGATTTAATTTGTGATCAGGCTTTGTCTATTAGCATGCTACTTGTGCATAGTAATTTTGGATAGGATTACTATCCTGGGCTTATGTGCTAACATGACCTGTATACGTGAACCCCCCTTAACCATAGCCTGGCTAGATTTCTTTAGATCTTTGCTTGCTCGCTTTGTTAACTTATTGCCACATGTTTCCTGTATAGATCCAGTGATTAATATTCTATAGTACTGTATTTACAGTATGTTATAATGTATAGGTCTACATATTGCCAGATACCCATCTCACCTACATTTACTGCGGTAGGGAGTACATGAAATTCAATAGTTTTTCTGCTTTGTATAGAAAGTGTATCCAGGGTTAATATATTGGTCAGTATAAATGCAGCTTCATATTCACTTCTTAAGACTTAATCGTTTTATTAGATTATTCTCATCTTGTTTATAGCATTTATAAGTGAATACATTTGTGCTTGAGTATAAAGAGGATTGCTGCAAAGAATGAAATTACTAAGGTTTTAGTCGTGATGACGTGTCTAATTCAGATAAATAGTACCGTGTTTCTCCGACAATATGTTCCCCCCCAACAGGAAGGCCCAGCATGTTTTCTAGGCATAAGGTGAAATTAAGCCCCTCCCCCAAAATTCAGGCCTATTTAAACCATGCATTCCTCACCATTTCTCACATCGCTTGAACTATACGAGATGAAGAGAAATGGGGGGAAGGGCAGGGGGAAACTTGCCTTTAGGAGTCCCCCGCAGGTAGCCTCGGCTAGAGCACCCCATGGGCAGACTCACCTCTATCGGCCGATAGAAGCACCCTGTGGGCAGAATTGCCTCGCCATGAGGCCGCTTCTATTGGCTGATAGAAGCTCCCCGAGGGCAGAGTCACCAGCCACTTTCATTGGCCAATAGAAGCGGCCTCATGGTGAGGTGCGGCTGCATGCGGGGCACTCCTAACGAGCGCTCCGCAGGCAGCCATGCCTCACCACTAGGCCGCTTCTGTTGGCCGATAGAAGCGCCCGAGGGCAGAGTCACCAGCCGCTTCTATCAACCGATAGAAGCGGCCTCGTGGTGAGGCATGGCTACACATCGGGTTCCAATTGCAAATTCAATCGCGTACATATACCGTTGTCAGAGTAAATATCAGACGATCTCAAGATTCCTGCTGCATTTCTGCTTCCCGAGCCAGCCGCTTTTCTTCGTCCCCTCAAATAGCCCTATTTCCTCCGCCCCCGATTTCCCACTGCAACCACTTGGACGGAATGGGTCACAGGAGGGTCGCTAAAGAAGCTGATTCCACCTATCACCTGCAATGGGCAGTTCTGGGCCCCTCCGCTTAGGCTGCCAACTAAGGGAACTCGCAGTTTACTCAATTGCTCAACTGGTTTCAGCCCACCTTTCTCCTGACTTCTTTTCGAGGTTTTGCTTGCAGCCTGACAGGTGGTGGAGTCCGGCTTCAACTCTCCCTTGAGTGCTTGGTGGGATATTTTGGCGTCTCTTTTTCAGACAGTACAAGGACGAGGGTAATCCACAAATATAGTTTTTTGGCTTCTGCACAGACATTGTGGTCTGTGGCGTGGATTGCGCAAATAACGGTACCTACCTCGCCCCGTTCCTGTAGTTTGCCCATAGAATAAGACGATACACATCTCTTAAATCCCCCATTCCTAGGTATTCCAGGACATTCAAATAACTTAAAAAAAGAGTGGCTAATGCTGCCAGTCAGAAACACAGTGCAATTATTTCACCCATTATTTTTTAGTGGATTTTTGTTATTGTAAAAAAAGATGTGTATTGTCTTATTCTAGAGGGAAACTATAGGAACGGGGTGAGGTAGGTACTGTATTTGCGCAAACCACACCACAGAGCACAATGTCTGTGCAGAAGCCAAAACTATCTTTGTGTATTACCCTCGTCCTTGTACTGTCTGAAAAAGAGACGCCAAAATATCCCACTAAGCACTCAAGGGAGAGCTGAAGCCAGACTCCACCACCTGTCAGTGGTTGGGCTGCAAGCAAAACCTCGAAAAGAAGGCAGGAGAAAGGCGGGCTGTTTAGCTCGCAGTTTACGGACAGCAATCTCCGCGTTCCCCCTCGAAGCATACCTTCCCCCTGGAAGATGCTAGTGGATGGCAAGGGGCACAAAGATCCCCCTGACCTCCCTTTGAAACCAGTTGAGCAATTGAGTAAACTGCGAGTTCCCTTAGTTGGCAGCCTAAGCGGAGGGGCCCAGAACTGCCCATTGCAGGTGATAGGTGGAATCAGCTTCTTTAGCAACCCTCCTGTGACCCATTCCATCCAAGTGGTTGCAGTGGGAAATCGGGGGTGGAGGAAATAGGGCTATCTGAGGGGACGAAGAAGAGCAGCTGGCTCGGGAAGCAGAAATGCAGCAGGAATCTTGAGATCGTCTGATATTTACTCTGACAACGGTATACATACGCGATTGAGTTTGCAGTTGGGAACCCGATGCGTAGCCATGCCTCGCCATGGGGCCGCTTCTATCGGCTGATAGAAGCAGCTGGTGACTCTGCTCTCGGGGCGCTTCAGCACCCTACGGGCAGCCATGCCTCACCACAAGGCCGCTTAGAAGCGGCCTTGTGGTGAGGCATGGCTGCCCGCAAGGCACTCCACAAGGCTGCTTCTATCAGCCAATAGAAGCAGCTGGTGACTCTGCCCTCGGGGCGCTTCTATCAGCCAATAGAAGCTGCCTCTTGGCGAGGTGAGTGTGTGTGGCGCTCTAGGTGAGGGTGTGCGTGAGAGAAGGAAATTAAGTCACCCCCGTAAAGACGGCCTAGCCGTTTTTTCGGCGCTCAGAAAAAAATTAGGCCCAGCCTTATTTTGTGAGAAACATGATATAAGATGTTCTCAATTGCCAATAGAATAATAGGGCTATTCTTGATGCTGTTTATTTGCAAAATTTACTATCAGTTTCAGCAATAGTCCAATTTTCCTATACTAGTATTACATTATAGAATGGAGAGAGTTATGAATATAATATGCAGAATTTGAATATGCAGAATAGCCTTGTGAATAAATGAGGCTTCTTGGATATGGAACACATAGCTCAATTGTTCTTTTTTGCAGTGCAGAATTTTTTCCCAATTGCATTAGTGTTTGGATTTTAATTCCTTATATCTCTTCCTTAAGTGCTTCCATCTAATTCTTCTTTTTGAAAGCTAGACAGAGTAAGCAAAGAAATAATGAACCAGTTTCCCCAATGATATGTTAAATTGAAGCTTTTCTCTATGTGACAATAATGATTGGTTTCACACATTAAACCATGCTTTGCTTAATTGACAAGATTAATATAACAGTGTCCAATCCAAATAGACTATGTCTTTTTTTTAATGATCAAACAGAATTGTATAATGGCATAAAATACTTAGAATTTTATATATTTAACAGCAAAGTTGAATTTCATTCATTAGCAAATTGGCAATCATTACAGTAGCTTTAGCAGTGAAAACAATAAATGCAAGTGTAAACAGCCCACGAAAAACTTAGCCACCACATTTTTAAGAACTATAACTGATCAAGTATCACAGAGTGCTCTAATAATCAAAATATGTTGAGTATTTATGAAAAACTAGCTAGATTATTTCTATCCAAGAGAAGATATGATCACTAAGATTGGTAATTGGTATTTCTGATCAAGGGGTCACTTAGGCTTTCAGTGACATTGATGATTCTAGCTCCAACTTTACATCTCTGTTCATTCTGATACAATGCAACCCATGTAGAACAGGCAAATGTATATACCCAGAAAGCACTAACCAACAAGAATCTCTGTTCACAAGATTCAGAATTTAAGTCCGCTATATAAGGGTTCACCAACCTTTCCTGCTTTGTGGACCTGTGGGTAGGGGAGAGGGGATGGTTCTGCACGAGCGGCCTGAAAGCGCATGCACAACTCCATGAATGGCAGGCACATAGGCCCACTGTTCATGCAAATGGATCACTCACACACTGCTTGCACAAGTGAGGATGCACACAGGCACTCACCCACCACTTCCACAGCCTGGTTCCAAAAGACTGAAAGCCCGCTAGTGGCCTGGGGCTTGGGGACCCCTGCCCTATCCAATCACTGCATTCAGTCATTGCTTCTGGACATGTATAGTCTCTCAAGTTAGATGTTACAAATAAATGAATATATCAACATATTGATGATATCCGGCCATGAAAATTCTGATAAGTGCCTGAATCAGTTTCATAAAGAGAATAAAGTATCCATTACATGTATGCTCAAAAACCTAGTATGCATCCCTTGTTCACTGACAGAATATCTTCTGGACTAAATGAGTTCCATCACTCTGAAAACTGCCTGCAATTGATAGAAAACATGACAACCCATCTACTACAAGGTGATAACTACCAAAGAGATGTACCTGTCCTTAAGTCCCTGTATTGACTATCAATAGGTTTCAGAGTGCTCCTATAAAAAGCCTTTATTATTTTGCCCTGTGTTATCTCCAGAATTCTATTCTCCAATGCACTTGTATATACATCTCAAGAAAAACAAAAGTCTTGAGGATCATGCATTTTGTGAGATTTGGAGGCTCCAACAAAAATGGTTTCTTTTTTATGTAATGGCTTCAATATTGTGGATCAGGCATAATCTTCCCACTCTCATAATGAGTTTTCTGAGAAACATTAAAAACTGGATTGTTTTGAAAGCCCTTTGACAATTGATGTCATCTTGCTGGTTGATTAATAGTCATGCAGTTCTCTCCTATATCATGTGTGATTCATATACTGATAATTATAATTGGGGGTTGGAGTTTTTCTTACTGTGAACATTTTAATATCTGTTATTTGATATTGTTTTATATTTAACCATGCATGTTTATTACTTACATACTATATTATACCATGGATGTTTTAATTTTGTTGTACAGAGTTGACGACATATAAACCCAATAAATAAATAAATGGAGGCCAATGAACATCAGACAATAAATTTCTTCCTTCTGTGTGCAGATTTGACATTTAGCCCCTTGTTTGTGGATTGATCTTACCATTTCATGTAACAATTTGAGGTATGTGTTAATAGTTACAGACAATAAAAACTTCTGTTGCTGTTTCAATCAAATGTGGATACTTTAAATAGTAACAGTTAATTTTGTAATAAAGGTGGCATTTTGTAAAATGTTTTATAACAAAATGAGTCATAACAATAAATAGGAAGAATTAGTTTATTACAGTGACAGTTTGCTCCTCATGCAACGTTTGTCATGTTGACTTAATCCAGCTATTGTGGGTTGTATGCCATGGTTTGTGACTTTGTTACAGAAAACCATCACTATTGACTTTTGCAATGCTCGGTGCAAAAGAAGAATACAAAATAGAGAGCAAAATAAATTAAAGAAAATAGATGTGTAAATAAATGGATGTGTAAATAAATGGAGCTATTCTTTTTCTGTCTTTGCAAACCATTCTTGCTTCTCTCACATCTTTAAACCACTTCATACATTGTCTTTTGTTAAGTTTTTCAGTCTCACTTTTTATGATTACATCTCCATTCATCTATGGAGATGTATGGATTCATCTCATTCTTTTTGCTATACAGTCATACTTCATATAATTGTTTTTGAATTCTGATTTTATTCTAACATCATTTATATTGATCACTCAGTTCTATCCCAAAGGTGCTTTTTCAAGAGGCAACCAGACTTTCTGGTTTTTCTTTAAAGACATTTCGGTTCTCATCCAAGAAGCTTCTTCAGCTCTAATTGGATAGTGGGGAATGGAAGGATTTATACTTGTAGACAACTGATCATTTGCATTCTTTTAGAGAGTCATTGAAGCCATTTGGAGGTTTATCTATGTTATCAGAGTCACCTGAGCAATGCAAATGGGTGTGGAGCATTCTTGGAAATGCTGAAAGGACTGTGTTGTAGATTGGAGATAGATGATGTCCTATCCCTCCCCCTCTGTTGAGAGGGGGGCTTCAATTTTGACATAGATGGCCTCTTAACCCCTCTTTCAAACCAGTGATCATCTCTGTCCTATATGGACTTTGTTATCTTTATAAGAGTGGCCTGTGTCTTCAATGTAGATGGACTGCTGAATCTAGTCCTGATGTGTTTGTTCTCCTATGTTGTGCCATGTGTATAGGAGAACAAATAGACTAGTGCTTTGAATTGTATTTAAAAGATGATGAGTCAATGCAGAGTCTAAAGGACCAAGTAAAAAGCTTTTATTGATATATGCCAGCTAACAGATAGGCTGCTGTATTCGGTATAAATTGTAGCTTCCAAATAATCTTCAAAGCAATCCATGGTGCACTGCACCAATCCAAGTGAATAGCGAAGAGGAAACAGTTGTGTCTTAAAGTTCTCCTGGCCACATCTTCTTTTGACATATCCATTTCTTACTTCTAAGAATTTACTAGGTAAATGTACCCTTTTAGGTCCTTTTGATAAACATCCCAAAAGAGGTAGTCTTTATTTAGCAACCACAATTGGAACTGGCAATTCTGTCACTAGGTAATACAATCACTAAATGAAAAATTGTATGATTATGACTGGGCTTATGATTTTATTTCAATTTTTCTCACTCCGCTGCCTTGAAATTCTCACCCCATGGCTGGGATAATTAAGACTGGAATTAATGTTTGTGAGTAAAGAGGCACACAATGGGCAATATACATGGAAAGGAAGATCTGGTGCCATTTATTTATACTGCTTGAATCTGGAAGCCACAAATGCACTAGGCTAACCACCAATATATTTCCCATTGCATACCTCACTCTGCCAGGCAGAAGAGAGAAAAGAGTCATGCATTGAATGACTCATGCTAACTGACTGTAATAGCAAACATTTCACAGAGATTGTTTGAGAAATAGTATGTTCATTGCAAAAATATTTTTCATCACTATTATTTCAAATTGTCATTGCACAAAGCATTCAATATGCAAGATCTACCCGTAAACTATACACTATTCATTACACTTTTACCAGCATTTGTACATCACAATATTTCTCTTATCAATTTTTCCATCTTTACAAGTTTTAAGCAAGAGTATCATCATTCTATCTGCAATTCTTCTTACCATTTATAATAATCATTCACTCCATTTTCCCAATTAAATACAATTAATTTGGTTTTTGAGCCAGTAATTTTAAAATGTATAGGTAGTCCTTGACTATCAGCCACAATTGAGCCAAAACTTCGGTTGCTAAGTGAGACAATTGTTAAATGAGTTTTGCTGCATTTTATGGCCTTTCTTGCCACAGTTATGTGAATCACCTCATTTGTTAAGTTAGTACAGTGGTACCTCAATACTCATGATTAATTGTGGGAGGTGCAACAAGTACTAAAAACAAGTACCAAACAAACCTCCATATCACATGACCTTTTGTTTCGGCTGGGAAGGACTTCATGTTTGTTTCTTTCCCTATGTCAGGGATGTTCCAGCATGGTTGCCTTTCGGTCTGCCCTCTGTGGCTGTCCCCTGCTTCCTTTTGCAGCAACGTTCCTGGCATGGCCAACTTCGTGTCCGTTTTCTGCAGCCAACTTCCTGTTCATTTTACATGGTTCTTCTTCCTATCGCAACATGTTGAGTACCCAAAAAATGATGCATACCAGGACAACATTTTTGTGTCAAAATTCATTGAGTATCAAATTCAACAAATTTTGAACTAGTTGAATACCACAATACCATTGTAACACAGTTGTTAAGTGAATCTGGCTTTGCCCTTGATTTTGCCTCTCAGAAACTCTTAAAAGGTAATCAAATGACTCCAGGATACTGTCATAATGGTCACAAATGGTCATAAATAGGACCATTTACCAAGCATCCACATTTTGATCATGTGCTCATGGGGATGCTGCAACCATCAAAACTGTGAAAAATGGTCACAAATCGCTTTTTTCAGTCTCTTTGTAACTTCGAACAGTCACTAAACAGATGATTATAAGTCGACGACTACTTATATTCAAAAATGTGACAGGTATAATAAACATCAAAGAGAGTATCAGATTAAGATCTAATTGTCTGAAATGATCATAGCAGTGATGATACCTAATTTGATAATGAAATGTCTGCAAGAAAACAGTCATGCTCAGAGAGCACCAAACCCCCTATTTGACGCTGAACTACAAATACTCTCTTCTATCTAAATATTCATATTTAGTCAAAGAGATCACACAGAATGACTTATCTGGACCAATTGAGTATTTCTTCCTTGCCACCAGAAGTTTTTAAATCTTTCCTGGAATGATGAGAATGATGATGTGTAAGGAAGATTATCTTACAAGTACCGGTAATCCTCAAGTTAACAATAATTGGGACTAGGATTGCCATCACTAAGCAATGCTATGATAAAGAGCAATGTCACATGGCAGCATTGCTTAGCAGTGGTAATCAGGAGTCCTGACTGTTATAATCCAAGATGTGGTTCCTTAAACAGGAGCTCCAGGTAAGAAACATGATGGTGCTGGTGTTGGTACTGGTTATGCACAAGTCAGGGAAGTGCAGCACACTTGCAGAGAAGGTCAACACAGGGTGCATGCGAACATGAGGTTAGGGAAGGAAGATGCAGCAGATATGTGAGCAAAAAGAAGGCTGAGAAAGGAGAGCACTTGTGGGTGGATAGATGGGTGTGTGTGTATGGAGATCCAGAAAAGGAGGATATGGTGCAGTGACAGGAAGGCAGACAGTTGGAACTTATCAGAGAAACTTCCTGCCAGCTTTTTAATATTTAATATTTCTGAATAAATATGGCCTTAAAATTTAGTTTGTTTTCTATGCAAGTCGTAAACTCAGATACAGACAACCCAATTAAGCAAGTGAGTCAAAAATACGTTCATTGGTTTATTGAGAAAAATGCTCAAAGCTACTTATTTGTGTGTGGGGAAAGCATGTAAACTTTGGGATTATAATTTACATTTTTTAATCAAAAGGATGATTATCAGGCATGGGAAAACTTGCCTCCAGAAAACAGTTGTTAATGTTTTGGAGGCTGTAAAAGATTGTAAAATTATTTTTAAAGAGTTTTGAAATAACAGTGACAATGTTGTGATTTGGACCTGCTACACTGCTTTTGGATTTGGGCTTGCCATCATTGATAGGAATTCTGAATTATACCAGCAAATTCTACAAGAAGGTGTTGAGGTATCTGCCTATGAATTGAAATTCACAGAAAGAAAGTAGATCATGCAGCAAGACAATGACCAGAAAATGTTAAAATAGAAGATAATTACTGTTTTGGAGTGGCTAAGTCAAAGTCCTGACCATAATCCTATAGAAAGGTTATGGAAAGACCTGAAGCAGATACTTCATGCAAGGGAGCCCACCATATCTCAGTGTTCTGTAGAAGAATGGGCTAGAATTCTTCCAAGCCAGTGTACAGTACTGATCAACAATTATTGAAAGTGTTTAGTTGCAATGATTGATGCCCAATCCCCAGTTACTGAAACCTAAAGTTATATACTTTTACACACAATATGTAGTTTTAGATCATTTTCCTCAATAAATCAATCAATATGCATAATTATGCATTTGAGTTCTCATCTAATTTTAGGACTTGTATGGAAAATAGACTACATTTTAGGTCTTGTTTATGCAGAAAAAAATTCATAGTTTTATATTTTATAATCATTAACATAAACAATGTTTATTCTTGAATTAATGTTATAGAAATTATCCCTTCAGCAGCTACAGCAATTATCCCTTTAATACTTTTAAAGGGAAAGTAGTTGCCCATATGTTATATAGAGGAGAAATATGAAGAATGGACAAATTCAATTACTGGTCCTCAATTTAAAACCATTCAGAGTAAAAGTGACTTACTTACAACTGGTCCTCAACCTTACAACACTGCAGCATGATCAGTATTGAGGCGCTTGACAATGGCATGTATTTATGATCTGATTGTTGTACCATCCAGGCATCATTTGATCATCATTTGCAAATTCAGTGAAGGAAATCACGTACGCTTAACAATTGTGTGGTTAACTTAAAAGACTAGCAAAAAGGGGGGGGGTCAAAATTGGGCATGACTCATTATTTAATGATGCAAGTCTCATTCCCAATAGTGCTTGCAAGTCTAGGATTAATCTGGAAACAATATAAAATAAATTTATAAAAATTACTTGCTCTTCCCCAATATTCCTACTGTTCTTGTGAGAGAAGTGTGGGTGACGTTAATTACCAATAGAGTGATAAAAACTATTTCTTTGTACTATAAAATACTGCTTTATATGCCTGATAGTAGATTGCAGGGAGTGGATGAGCTCAATCCTTTTGTTAGTATTTGAAATGACATTTGATACCTGAAGAATATGTGTACCGGTATCAAGTCAATTGTAAAGAAATTTTCTTAGGGATTAATTTCTGTGGACTCTTTACAGGACTGATAATCAGTATATCAGTCCTAATTTAACATCCACTCATTTAGTGATCAAAGTTATTACTGCTGAATGAGGAATCTTTCTGACAGGTACTTGTAGTTGTCGTCTGCAATCCCATTACTGCTGTTTGGGTGCTTGGTGACCAGCTTGCATTTATGAGAGTTGCAGCATCTCACAATCATATGATTGTCATTTGCAACCTTCACTGCCAGCTTCCATCTATCAAAGTCAATGGAGAAACAACTAGGAAGCAAATAGAAATTATGAGGGGTTCACAACAACAATAACAGCAGCAACTAGAACTGCTGTAGTAAGTTGATGGGGGTTGTGTGATATTATGCCTTAGAACAATGCCATTTAATGATGGATTTCCCATTCCTAATTACTATCAGTAAGCAAGTAACTACCTATACTACTTTTCAGCTTGTTTTGCTGTGAAATTCTGTAATGGATTGCGCCTACTCAATCCTTAACAAGCTACTTTTTATATAAATTTTCATAAACATTCTTTTTTTTTTTACTGTTCCTCCAGCATATGTGAAGAGGAGATACAAGAGGGTTCCTATACCATAGTGTTTTTGTATTTCTAAAATGCCTGTTCTGGAAGACTTGATTTTCTACGTGCTGCTCTGTAAATTGTATCCACCTTCCGGGACTCATATTTATCTACTCAGTTTTATAGTTATACTGGGCCCTACCTAACAAAATGAAATTCAGTGATGAGAAAAGTAAGGCTTCTACATTTAGGCAAGAAAAACCAACTGCACAGGTATAGAATAGATGGTACCTGGCTCAATAGTGGCAACTGCAAGAGGTATCTTGGAGTCCTAGTAAGACAATCACTTAAATATGAGCTGGCAGTGTGCCAAAAAAGCCAACACAGTTCTAGGCTGCATAAACAGAAGGATAGAATCAAGATCACGTGAGGTGTTAATACCATTTTATAATGCCTTGATAGGGCCACACTTGGAATACTGCATCCAATTTTGGCTGCCATGGCATAAAATTGATGTTGAGATTCTAGAAAAAGGCAGAGAAGAGCAACAAAAATGATTACGGGACTGGAGGTTAAAACATTCAAAGAACAATTGCAGGAGTTGGATATGTCTTGTTTAATCAAAAGAAGGACTCGTGTGACATAGCTGTGTTCCAATATTTCAGTAGAAAGGGTCAATCTATTCTCCAAAGTGCCTGGAGGCAGGACAAGAAGCAATGGATGGAAAGTAATTGAGGATAGTAGCAACATAGCACTAAGGAGAAATTTCCTGGCAGAACATTTAATCAGTAGAACGACTTGCCTCCAGAAGCCGTGGGTGCTCCAACGCTGGAGGTTTTAAGGAAGAGATTGGAGAACCATTTGTCTCAATGGGTTGGACTAGAACAGGGGTCCCTAACACCGAGCTGTGACCCAGTACAGGACCAGAGCCTATTCTGAACTGGGCTGGGGAAGCAGCAGGCAAGTGCCCATCACTTGCACAAACAGAGCTGCGTGTGGCTCACCCGCCGCTTGCATGGAACCATCTCTCTCACCCACAGATCCACAAAGCCAAAAAGGTTGGAAATGATGGACTAAAAGACCTCCAAAGTTCTTTCCAATTCTGTTATTCTATTATTGTGCATACAGAAATATAGTAATCACCCTTTAAGTCCACATATGCTTGGTGCAGAATATAAAAATATGATCTATAAAGTGTAGTGGGGCTAAAAAAAAAATCTTCTTTATCTACCACTCTATGAGCAATCCTATATCTGTACAGGTAGCCTTTGACTTACAGTCATTTGTCTAGTGACCATTCAAAGTTACAATGGCACTGAAAAAGTGACCATTTTTAACAACTGTTGCAGCATCCATGCAGTCACATGATCAAAATTCAGATGTTTGGCAACCAGCATGTATTTTTGACCGTTGCAGTGTCCTGGGGCCATGTGATCACCTTTTGTGACTTTCTGAAAAGCAAAGTCAAAGGGAAAGCCAGATTCACTTAACAATCATGTTACTGATTTAACTGAAGTAATTGACTTAACACTATGGCAAAAAAGATCATAAAATGAGGCAAAATTCAGTTAACTGTATTGCTTAGCAGTGAAAAATTGGGGCTCAATTGTAGTCTTTTAAGTCAAGGACTACCTGTATTTGTGCATTGTTCTCTCTAGTATAAAATTTTTGATTATTTTTACTATTTTACTACTTATTAGCAGTGAGAAAAGAAATAGCCAGTTTCTTATAAAGGTCAAGGTATCAGGCAACCAGGCAACCATGATTCCTCTCTTAGACACAGTCTGCTACATGATTTTGGCCTAGGAATTCTCTGTCAGCTCTAGGAAAGAAGTAGAGGCAAACCAATTCTGAAATCTTGTCAAGAAAATTCCAGGAATTTATCCAGGCACTCTTCAAGAGTCAATAATGACTTGAAGGTACACACAGAGAGAAAAAAGAGATCTTTGTATTTTATTTATATGAAATAGACATGTTTGCTTTTTATTCAATATCAAGATCATTTTGAGGATAGTAGTTCATTAAATGTGGTTTTCTGTTTCTGAAGTAAGCAAAAAACAACACAAAAACCAAATTTGGCTGATCAGAAGAACTTTAAAATTATTTTAAAATCCCAATTTCTATTTTTCTGCTTTTATTTCATTTATCTCTGATTGTCTTTTGGTTTGTTATAATGGTGATTAATTTGTCATACTGTAAGCTACTCAGAGATTGTATAAATATGCTATATAAATAAATAAAATTTATAAATATGCTAACGTATAAATCTTTTAGCACTTTAATAATCGTAAACACTTGAAGTTTTAATGTTTGGAAACATTCTGATAGTGCATGGCAATTGTTTCTCCGATACTCCATAAACTGAAATGCCTGGAACAGGTTGAAGTGCAGTTGTCACACAGGAATCGCTAACGTGATGATAGGCAATAATTTTTAGTGGTCTGTTAAATACCTGGAACCAGAATCAAAATATAGAAGTTAAACTGATAGCCTTATGCCTTTAACACAGGGGTGTCACACTGGCAGCCCACAGGCCGGATGCGTCACGTGGAGGCTACGCCCACCTCAGCTCCCCAAAGGGAAAAAATGTCACGATACATCACAAGATGGCAACATGATTTCGCGAGTTTGACACCCATACTTTAACACATTTGAGATTATTCAGAAAATTATTTTTAGATTGATTGGTGCTCAGTATTTACTATATTTGTTTTGGTCCAAAATAACAATGAATATGAATTATTAAAATATGTATGGGTCCATAAGATGATCTTTCTGACATGTTGCAAATGGTTCAGAAAATAGTAGTAAGGATGCAGAGTTGGTTCAGTCCTTGTAGTTTGGTGAATAATATCTCTTCTTTCCTCTTGCCTAGTTAGTCACATTTAGACTATTTGGAAACTATTGTTAGTTTAGCAGTAACATTAGATTCCATTCCTAAACAGTATTGGAATGATTCTGTATTTTAATCTGTTAGGATTAATACTTTGTTGATTACTGAAAATGTGATTGGACTTTGCATAGATTAAAGCATGCTGCTGTAATAATTGTAACTGTATCTTAATTACATGATATAGGAAAGGGTGATCAGCATTAAGCATATATCCTCTCATTTCATTAAGGGATAGTTTTATCCTTTAAAATGGTGAATATGATAGCTTGTAATTTCATATAATTAAAAGAGAACAGCAGATTTCCTTTAGGGGGTAGAAAGTTTTTTTTTTAATGACCTGAGAAATGCATAGATTTCTGAGTAAGCTGAATTACTCAGCTTAGTTGGTGCTCTGCATGCGTGATTACTAGAACTACTTATTTAATTTACATTATTTTATTAAAAGACCTTAGGAACAAGTAACAATCAGTGCTTAATTTGTTTCATTTTATTTTTATTGTCTCTAAATATATTTCAAACAACTACCATCATAGGCAAAAATGACAAATGCATTCTGAAATCTTTTGACAAATTTTTCAGTTATATGTTTATGATTTTGGCTTACTTTTACCAAGAATGAAAATCAATTAAAATGCCGTAATAAGTCCAGCAGAGGCTAAGAACCTATACAAAGTTCAATATATATAGACAAGAATACCTGGCTGAAACAAGTTAATATTAATTCAGTTGTTCTGTTTCCACATTAACATTATTTAGACACACACACATTCACATACAGAGTATGTATTTCATCTGTCGTTTTTTGTTAATGAACTGTAGGAACATCATCTCCAGCGGGCTATTTCAGCACAGCAAGTATATGGAGAGAAACGGGATAATATGGTTATACCAGTCCCAGAAGCAGAAAGTAATATTGCCTATTATGAATCAATATACCCTGGAGAATTTAAAATGCCAAAGCAGCTTATTCACATACAGCGTGAGTATATATTTATACTGAATATTTAAAATTAATTTGATTGGTTTTTTAAAATAAAAATAGTTTTGTAGACTCACAATCTCCTTTGGATGTGAAAAAAGATTAGGGCTAGGGTCATGTAAGTAAGTAATTGGATTTACTAAATAAACTTGTTGCACAAAAATATTGAGTTCAAAATAATTAAATTTTTGTTATGTGTGTGCTTTCTTATATAATAAAATATGATAATGTTTAAAGAATGAAGCACAGGTTGTCCTCAACTTACAACCAATCATTTAAAAACCCTTCAAACTTAGAATGGCTTGGAAAGCATCTTCTACATTCTAGAAAGCATTTCCAGCTGTCAAAAAAATGTTACGCTGTGTTCCTCACAGAGTTACATGATCACAATCTGAATTTTTGACAACCTGTTAACATTTAAGATTAGATGACAAGTGCCCCATGATCATGTAGTCACTATTTGCAGTCTGTTCCACCTTTTCCAGAAGACAGTGGGGAAGCTGGCAGGGAAGATTGCAAGATGCTGTCACCTGCCAAAGATTTCCTCTCCCCTCCATTTAATAGGAGCGGGAATCCTTGGGCAGGAGAAACAAAGCAGGGATATTCACAATCTCATCTTGTTTCTCCAACCCAGTACATGAGTTCCCTTCAGCTCATGGAGGGAAGAAAAAGTCTTCCAAAGGGCTGCAGAAATGGAGGTCTGATCCCAAAGATCTGAGCCCCATTCTTGTAGTCCCTCCAAGAAATTCCCCTCCTTGCATGGTGGGCAAGGGAAAATCAGCAGCAAGCTGCAGGAATAAGCTTGGATGTCAAAGATCAGAGGTTTGTTTCTGCCTGATGCAGGAGTTCTCTTCTGTGCATGGAAAGGAGCTACCTGTTCTCCTTTGGAAGGCAACACTTTCACTCTGTCAACTTAACGACTCGTGTGGTCATTTAACAACCAATTGGGAGAGCCATGAGGGTGTCATACTTTATTATTGCTTCACACAGTGACTAAGATTCCAGTCCCAATTGTGTTTATAAGTCAAGGACTGCCTGTACAGATTATAACACTTTTTGATATAATTAACATTGTATACAATGTCATGGTACTATTTAGTTGTAAATGTAGGCTAAGCTAATTTGTAATGTGTTCAGAGATAGCATGAACAAACTGAAAATTTTTGTACTCACCTCACTAACAAACTTACATCAAACTTTTAATGTCAGATAGTTTTGTTTTTTTTAATTTGGTCAAAGAAAATGAAATTGGAGAGGTACTACTGATACTTCTCAACTTACAACCACAATTGAGCCCAAAATTTGTATTGCTAAGTGAAATATTGTTAAGTAAGTTTTGCCCTATTTTACAACTTTCCTTGCTACAGTTGTTAAGTGAATCCCTGCAGTTGGTAAATTAGTAATCTGGTTGTTAAGTATATTCGGCTTCCCTGTTGACTTAGTTTGTCAGAAGGTCGCAAAAGGGAATCACGTGACCTCAGGACACTGCAACCATCATAAATTAGAACCAGTTGTCAAGCTTTTGAATTTTGATCACATGATCATGGGGATGTTGCAATGGTCATAAATGTGAAAAACAGTCATAAGTTGCTTTTTTCAGCGATGTTGTAACTTTGAATGGTCACTAAATGAACTGTTGTAAGTTGAGAACTGCCTGTATACAATGGAAAACAATTCGAATTTTATTTAGTCAATTAATATCCCACAGATTACAAATTGACATTTTTTTCTTTCACATGGAATATAGTACAACAAATGATGTTGTAAATAAATCAATAGAGCAACATTATAAGTGCTTGCCTAAAGAACTGCAGGATCAGGGCCATGATACCATCTTACAATATGGGGAATACCTTGGGCTGCTTGCATTGTGTGCAGGTGGATGCTGGCACTAGCACATTTCTTCCTCTGTGTATTCCCCATTGTGTGCCTGTGTATTTTGTTGTAATCCTTTTCTCTCCGATTTCTCAATTCTGCAGGGAATTGAGAACTTGCTGTAGGCAATCTTTCTGGCCAGTACCATTCCCATCTCCAAAGTGGAGAGTTTGAAGAGAAAGGGATTATGAAAAAATAAGCAGGCACACAGTGGTGAATATACTGGACGGTTTGCATGGCACACTCACAGCTGCTGGCACATTTCTCAGGGAGAAAATAAGTATAACAATAGGTTGGCTATTGGACATAACATTATTACGGCAATCATGTGAATGATTACCAGTGTAAAAGGTTGTAAAGGACATTGGTTGTAAAATTATTTTTCCAGCACCACTGTAACTTAGAACAAAGCAGTTAGTGAGCAAGAACTACAGGTAATGGAATAGATCTGTCAAGTATTCTTATTTATCCTGAAAACAATATATTTAAATAGCTCTTAATGAAAAATTGATTTATCCAGTGAAGGCTATCTTATAAATATTGACAATTATTCATTTGATAATATTTCAAACATATTTACATTCTGTCTTATCTAGATAGGATTAGCTACCCTAAATTGATATTTTCAGGATTTGTTAAGAAATATAATTTTATAATCAGTAGATTTTAAGATGGCAAGAATATATGTGCATATTTTTAAATTCTTCTAGTTTAAATATTGTATTAAACTCTATTAAAATATTAAAACACATTAAAATATTTTTCTCTTTTCAGCTTTTAGTTTGGATGCTGAGCAACCGGATTATGATTTGGATTCAGAAGATGAGGCCTTTGTGAATAAGCTGAAGAAAAAAATAGATATTTCTCCTTTGCAATTTGAAGAAATGATAGATCGACTTGAAAAAGGAAGTGGTCAACAGGTATAGTATTATTTCTAATTTGAAATTGTTTTAATAATATAAATATATAAAAATGACGTACTTGGATTTTACCTTTAGCCAGTCAGCCTGCAGGAAGCCAAACTACTCCTGAAGGAAGATGATGAATTGATTAGAGAAGTATATGAATATTGGATTAAAAAGAGAAAAAACTGCCGAGGCCCCTCTCTTATCTCAGCAGTGAAACAGGAGAAACGTGATGGGTCCAGCACAAATGATCCTTATGTTGCATTTAGAAGACGAACAGAAAAGATGCAGACTCGAAAAGTAAGTATGGACTTAATATTTTATTGCATTTATAGATCGCTGTCCAGAGCCCTTTATATAATGACCAAATTATTTTACAGAAAAAGGGAAGGGGAAAAACACTGTGACAATGTTAACAAAATTCTTTGTAGATAAAAATCACTTTTTTCACTTGGAATCGGACTAGTTGGACAGAGTCCAGAGAAGCGAAGCTCGTGTATTACAAGATTTCCTGGGAAAGTTTGAGCATATTAATAGCAATAGCACTTAGACTTATATACCGCTTTTCAGTGCTTTACAGCTATTTACAGAATCAGCATATTGCCCCCAACAATCTGGATCCTCATTTTATCAACTTCGAAAGAATGGCAGGCTGAGTCAATCTGGTGAGATTTGGACTGTAAAATTACAGGCAGCAGGCAGGCAGCAAAAGTAGTCTGCATTACTGCACCCTAACCACTGCACCCCGGTGGCTCATATTGATCCTGTATAATTGGGCAGTTTGGGATGAGATGAGTTGATCCTACCCCATTTGACTTGTGCACGCTACCAAGGAGAGGATAGGGGAAATGGAGCCAGCCATGGTACATGCCTTCTGGGATATCTTTGAAAGAGGCGTTGTACATCCTTCCCTTAAGAAGCTAACATTTAACCCTGCAGTAAACAGCTATCACACATTGTTCTTGGGAGGTTGGGAGAAGGTGATTGTTTGATATCTGTAGATGACTCAGAAAGAAATGGATTATCTGGACTCTCTTCTGTCAGGTTTTAAGCCTGGGAAATAGCATTGGTAATAATTATATATACTTTATAGTAGGAGTATAATCCTATAGTATCCCTCTAGATCAGGGGTGTCAAACTGGATTTCTTTGAGGTCTGGATCAATATTATAGTTCTTATGAGGGGGGGGAAGTGATGGACACCTGCAGCACACTGCCGGCCAAAACTGCATGGGGGGGCTTGTGCAGGCCCCTCCATGCCCCATTTTGACTGCAAGAGGCTCCAGTGGGCCAGTCCTTTGCTGTTTCCAGGCCAGTCCCACGGGCCAGATTTAAGCACTCATGGGTCAGATCCAGCCCACAGGCCTTGAGCTTGACACTCCTGCTCTAGATCATCTGAGTGTTAGCTGTGGTGTGGGCATTAGTTCATGGCTTTAGCTGATATGTATGGGAATAGTTGCAAGGACACTTTGTTATGGGATGTGTCAGGGTTCAATCCTTTCCCCCTTTTATAGGTATATTATTGTCAGTATGCAAGTTACTGTATAAACCTCCATATCAAATCAACTGGGAGATGGATGGGAGTCTTGCCTCAGTGGTGACTAAGAGTCTAGATGGGGAAAAAGAGGTTGAAACTCAACCAAGGCAAAGCAGAATGCCTGCTATTTCAGAAACTAATTGGTTCTAGGGTAACACCAATATAAGCTCTTGATGGGGTTGTGCTTCTCCAGAAGCAGCTGATTTGTCATCTCAGGGTCCTCCTGGACCTCTGGTTCCTGTTCGAACAGGAGGTGGCAGTTGTGGCCAGAAGAGCCTTTGCTCACTTTTTAGCTTGTAAATTAGTTGTTCTTGTTTCTAGAACTTACAGCTATCACTCCTCATGTTACTTCATATATAGAATACTGCAGTATGTACTATAGGGCACACTTTGAAAATATCTATAGGCTCTAATTATAGCAAAATGCAACAGTTCATGTATTAACATAAACAACTTGATTTTTCCATATAACAGCAAATACAGCAAGAACTGTTGGTTGCCAGTCTGCTTCTGTGCATAGTTCAAGATACTAGTGCCACTTTTAAAGTCCTACAGAGACTGCTTACTCCAATTAACATCTCTCTGCCCAAATTGTGCTTGCAAAAATGCCTAATGAGAATCCCATGAAGTTGATAAGAAGCCAGAATTTTCTCAGTTGTACGGGTCGGAGAATCCAAAGCGTGGGCTGTCTCCTGCTTCCTTGCTTAAAGATGGAGTCAATCTAAGTTTAGTTCAGCCCCCGTTCCACTGCACATGCCCAGTTTTTGACTCCGTCTTCATGCAAAGAGGACACGAGGAGAGAGTGCTCAGAAAGAAAGATAGAAAACATAGTGATAACGCTTTGGATTCTTCGAGAAAAAAGGGAAAGAGAAAGAGTGAAAGTCAACAAACTGAGTAAACGAAAGAGCAGGGATCTCGTACCAAGCTGGGAAAGCCCCACACAGCTGCTTGGTGCTTAAAAGGCAAGCAGCAGCAGCCTCAGTAAGAGCGAGCGGGCCCTTGATCGGCTAGCAGAGAAAGAGGGATAATTAACAAACGTTTGGCCATCCCATAGTCGTAAGGCGAAGAGGAAGTGGGGAGGACCGGCAGACTGTTGTAGAATGGCAAAGGGAGCTTTTAAACAGCCAGGAGCCACACAAAGTCTCCAGCACTCCCTTTAATAGGAGCAAACTCAATCAAGGCTGAGCGAGTTCCCAAAACAGCCACATAACCCTACCCAGGAGAAAGGGAAGCTAGAGTCCATATTCAGTCTAGGCTGAGCATACTCGTAAGCTGTTAAAAAGAGCAACCGCATTTTGCTGAACCCCAGCGAGGGTGAAGCTGCTGAAAAGAGCAAAGGGAGATGATATGGCTGAATTTTCTGAAACGGAGGCAGGTCCAGAGGAACAGGGATTCCCCTACCCCCCAGCCCGATCAGAAAGCAAAGCACAAAGGGACACAGAGAGGCTGGGAGAACTTCAGAAAGGCCTCTCAGCAGGGTGTCCAAGGCAGACAGAGAGAGAGGCGTTAAGGAGACAAAAGGCCATTGAGAAGTGCTTCTCGAGGGCTGAAAAGGAGGCGGAGAAGAATGGAAATTCCCGCACTCCGACAGGCAGACCAATGGCAGCGAAACACCAGGAAAAGAGCGCAACACCAGAGGGCACTGAAGAACAGTCTTTTCAGCCTGCTCTTTGTGTGGAAGAAGGAATGTGTGAATCAGAAAGACAATGCTCTCAGGAATGCAATGAGGATCCCTCCCCCAAGAGAAGAAGGCTATCAACAGAGGCAGCCTTACTCCCACTGTCAGAGAACAGTCCTTTAAAGAGGAAATGAGGGCCATGATGAGAGAAATGATGTCAGAATTCAGAGAGAGTCAGGGTAACAGACCCAGCCTGATACATAATGAGAGGAGGCAGGATGCTCATCATCCTACTCAGGCAGGAGAAATAAGGGAGGAACTGGGTTTCCAGAGAGACAGTTCCAGTAGATCATACACGCACACTGAGGCCTCTATATCAGGAGAGGATGACTACAGGGAGTCAGCCTTTTCAGATGGAGAGGTAAATGAAGCCGAGACCCCAGTGATCACAGGCCTATTCCGTCACAGCTGTTTAAGGTGCTGCTGGCGAAGGCTAAGATAGCAACAGGTCTGGGGAGAATCACAGGGACAGAGGGTACTGAGTTAGAACCATCTGATCCCAAGGATAGACTCTTTGCTAAGATTGAAAGGTTGAAAGTGAATCCATACCTTCACCTGAATTGTTCAGGGAAGTGATGGAAGGTCAGTTGGACAGACCAGTCATTTTCCCCACGTCAGAGGGGAATGAGAAGAGATTTTAAAGTAGACCTAATTCCAATTCCTACAATAGACAGCCCAGTGACAGCCTCCACGTCTGCTACAATACTGGCTAACGAAACTGAGGATGGTCTAAAAGGGGAGGATAAGAAAATGGAACAGACCCTACAAAAGGTACACCAGGCCGTGGCATGGTCCATAAAGGCAACATCCACGGCATCCTTTTTCAGCAGAGCAGTCCTGATATGGCTTGAGCGGATGCAGGAAAGCATACCACCTGGTGATTTTCGATTGCAACAGGACTTAAAAAAAAATAACTGCTGCAACAGAGTTCATAGCAGACGCCATTAATGGGGTCAAGTATGCAACCAAGGCTATAGCAGCTTCAGTGGCTACAAGGTGACTTGTTTGGCTCCATCACTGGCAGGTGGATCTGAAACATAAATGGAAACTGGCATCAACCCCAGGGGACAAACGGGGGCAAACTTTTCGGGGATGCCATTGAGCCATTATTGATAGAAACCAAGGACAAGAAGAAGGTCTTACTGAGGAAATTTGGTCAGGCAGATAAGTGATCTTTACCATATACACGGCAACAGTCCTTTCCTATCTTGGGGGGGTGGCTTCAGCCACTCCCAGTACCCACAGAGGCAATATACACAGAACCCTACTACACACTTGGACAGGTCAGGGTTTAGGGATGGGGTAGACAACGGTTCCAGGGAAGACACTCTTTCAGGAGTTCGACCAGCAGGGTCTTCCAGCATAGAAAGTGATGGCTGGAACAACGGGCCCATCAGCGGGAGACTGGGCCTATTCACAGCATAACAACGGACAAGTGGGCCTTAGACACAATAAGAAGAGGCCTAGTTCTGGAATTCCTCTCCATACCCCCGAGCTCATTCAGAAGATGCCCAACAGCAAGAGACAGAGTCAAAACGGTAATTATGGAAACAGCAGTTCAACATCTGCTGGACATTTGAGCTGTACAAGTGGTACCGGAGAACGAACAGGGACAAGGGTTCTATTCAAACCTGTTCGTTGTGCAGAAAAAGGTTTGGGGGGTTGGAGAACAATTTTGCATCTCAAATTACTAAACAGGCACATAGTATACAGGAGATTCAAGATGCAATCCGTGCAATCTATACTGGGGAACATCCAGGAAGGGGATGTCCTGACATCAGTAGACCTCACAGACGCATACCTACACATACCTATTACCAAGAAGCACCTAAAGTTCCTGCAGTTTTGCTACGCAGGAGGACATTACCAATACAGAGCTCTACCATTGGGCCTGTCCTCAGCACCAAGAATATTTACCAAGGTACTGGCAGCGGTAGCAGCCTTTCTCAGGACAAAGCCCATACAGGTCCAATGCTACTTGGATGACATATCAATAGAGTCAATATCGAATCTTAAGAGCAAAGAGTGATATAGAAACCATAATACAGACATTACAAGAGCATGGATTTTCGGTGAATTTCGAAAAGAGCCACTTAGAACCAACAAGGCATTTACAACACTTAGGAGTTGTAATAGACACCAACTCCTGCGAGGTTTACCTGTTACAGGAAAGACAGGACAGCATAAGGTCATCAATACATCAAGCGATCACAGCTCCAAGAGTGACCCTGGACTTGCTGTCACAAATATTGGGAAAGATGATATCATGCATCTTGATAGTACCTTGGGCCAGACTGCAAAGTCTTTGCACACAAGGACTTTGCAGTGGTTCCTATTACCTTACCAGAGAGCAGGCAAGGGTAATGAGAGAACCAAGGTACAAATGCCCCCCCCAGAGTGAAGCAGTCACTCCAGTGGTGGACATCACAGGCCGTGACAAGGGGATCTGGTTCAAGGAACCCATCCAACTGACTATCACAACAGATGCAAGTCTAATAGGCTGGGGGGGCCACTGTCAGAACCAGATTACACAGGATCAGTGGTCTCAGTCAGACCTCAAGAACAACATCAACTGGTTAAAGTTCAGGGCATCTCACCTGGCTCTAAGGTCCTTCAATTCAGTGATAGTGGGACAGCATGTGTTGATCCTGACGGACAATGTGACTGCCAAGGGTCATATCAACAGGCAGGGGGGTACTCACTCCCTAATGCTCATGCAAGAAGCAGAGCGATTGGGCCACTGGGCGGAGTCATACCTCCTATCGATCAGGGCAGAACACATATCAGGAGTGGAGAATGTTCAGGCAGATTGGCTCAGCAGAAGAACGGTCGACCACTCAGAATGGTGCCTACACCCGGACCTGTTCAGGGAACTGTCGCACAGATTTGGGAGAGCAGTCCTGGACCTGTTTGCAACTCCAGCAAATGCAGAACTCCCGAGATTCTACTCAAGATTTCCAACACAGGGAGTGGAAGGAACCTATGCGCTCCAAAGAGCATGGCCAAGGGGTGGGGTTAATCTATATGTTTCCCTCACTTCCATTGGTACCAAGGGTAATCAAGAAAGTGATAGATGGGGGGGGATTTTAATGGTAGCACCTCACTGGCCCAGGAGGTCTTGGTACACGGATCTGGTAGATCTGTTGGTATCCAGACCATGGAGAATTCCCCCAGGCGGTAGAGCTGAGTCAGGGAGCCATTCGACATCTGGAGCCACAATGGCTTCAACTAACCGTATCTCACCTGAGAGGGCCACGCTAAAGTGATTAGAGTGTTCAGCCAATGTAATACAGGCACTGCAGGCCTCCAGAAGGCCGGCAACCAACAGAATTTATGATGCTACCTGGAGAGCTTTTGGAACCTGGTGTTCCAAGAAACAAATAGATCAAATCACAGTATTAGTGACTCAAGTGTTGGACTTTCTCCAGGAAGGCCTGGAGAAGGGTTTAACTCCTAACACCTTATGGAGGCAGGTAGCAGCAATAACATCAGTGTTGGGTTGTGGAACCTCAGAGTCTCTCTCACGACATCCCCTAATCCACACATTCATCAGGGGAGCAACCAATCTAAGGCTACCAGTGATATACAGGTACCCCACTTGGGACTTGACAAGGGTGCTAAGGGCGCTCATGATTGAGCCCCTTGAACCACTGAGATCAGTAGGATTACCCTCACTCACCCTTAAGGTGGCCTTCCTAATAGCCATTTTGTCAGCTAGAAGAATATCAGAGTTGGCAGCATTATCCGTGAGGGAGGACCTCTGTATAGTCCACCAGTACAGGATAGTATTAAGATTAGATACGACCTTTATCCCAAAGATCAATTCTACATTCCATAGAGCACAGGAATTAGTACTACCAGACTTCTGCCCGGAACCAGTCCATAGCCTAGAAAGGAAGTGGCACTCCTTAGACGTAAGGAGGGCTTTATGCATTTATATTAAGAGAACAAGGCCCATTAAAAAAATGGAGGCATTGTTCATTCATTTAGACCGAGTTCTTTGGGACAAAAGGGTTCACCATCAACGATTGGCAGATGGATCAGGACATGTATCACAAAAGCTTATGAAAGCCAATCATTGCAGTTGCCAGGTAATATAACGGTACATTCAACCAGGAGTGCAGCCACATCAGCGCATGGAACACACAGGCCTCGAAGAGATCCGTAGGGCAGCAACGTGGTCATCACCATCTCCACTCATCAGAAATTATAAACTGAATACATTTGCATGAGCGAAAGCATCCTTTGGAAGAAGGGTGCTACAAAGAGTTCACATGAAGATGGGGGCTTAGGACAAGTAGTTGGTCCACCCTCAGGACAGTTAGCTTGGGTACATCCCACGCTTTGGATTCTCTGACCTGTACAACTGAGAAAGAGCATTGGTCTTACCTGAAATGCATCTTCTAGTTGTACGGGAAGAGAATCCAAATCCCACCCTTAGATAGTTAGTCCTGAGCACAGAACGGTCAAGAAAGAGCACCAAGAACTCTCCAATTCTCCTTCATCAAAAACTGGGCATACGCAGTGGAAAGGGGGCTGGACTAAACTTTGATTGACTCCGTCTTTAAGCAAGGAAGCAAGAGACAGCCCACGCTTTGGATTCTCCTCCTGTACAACTAGAAGATGCGTTTCAGGTAAGACCAATGCTCTTTCTATAGGAGTTCCTCTCTTATGGAATGGCTTTCACTAGAAATAAGATTTATATGCTCATTATGGATTTTATGAAGTCTTAAAAGCATGGCAATTCCAAAAAAAGATTTGTGGACTAAATAATTGTTACTTCATTATATCTGGGATTATTGTGAGCATTGTTAATAATTGTAAGTGTATTTCACAATTTCTAGATTGGCTATTGCATTTTTGTACTGTAATACTGCAGGTTTTGTTTTTTTTGTTTTGAACTCCTTAGAGTCATAGTAATTTATGTGGCACACATAAGTAGTATTTATTTATAAATAATATTTAATATTTGTGGTTGAAAAATAAATATTCACAACATTGAAGTTTGAAAATATTTAATATTTTGGTGTCTAAAATATGTTTCATTTGTACATTTACTACATTTTGCAGAATCGAAAGAATGATGAAACTTCTTATGAAAAAATGCTTAAACTGAGGCGGGATCTGAGTCGTGCAGTAACAATTCTAGAGATGATAAAGAGAAGAGAAAAAAGCAAGAGAGAGTTGCTGCATTTAACGTTGGAAATTGTGGAAAAGAGGTAAAACAGTTCAGTTCTGCTTGTGAATTATCATTATTAAATAAATAGTTGATTAAATTGGCACATAGATAATATTTTATGAAATTGTAATATATTTTTATGTGTTCCACATTTGTACATAGTTTATAGCCATATTCACCAAATATGTGGATGTAGGGATAAAAGCAGTATTTTAGATTATCAAACAAACACCTTCTTTGTTATTGTTAGCAAATCTTGCTATTTTGGAGAAAATGATTATTACGGTTTGACAAGTCATGACATTCAGTCCTGTTGAACATATTCTTCTCTTAAGTCCTTGTGAGGCAGTGGCAACTAGACCAGTGGTGGGATTCAAAAAAATTTACTACCGGTTCGTGTGTGGCTTGATGGGCGTGGCCATGTAACTGGGTGGACGTGGCGCTTTGTTTTTTTTTTTGCAGCCCCCACCCGGTTTTTGGGCCTTCTGGGCCTCAGATGAGCCTCGGGGAGGGGGGGGCGTTTTTGCTCCCCTAAGGCTCCCCTGGAGTTCAGGAAGAAAAAAAAACAGAGCATGGGAGGGGCCCATAGCACCCCTCCAAGCTCCATTTTGGGAGCTTCCTGGCCTCAGAAGAGCCTCGGGGGGGGGGGGTTGCTCCCCTAAAGCTGCTCTGAAGCTCAGGAAGGCAAAAAATGAGCCATTTTTTGCCTTCCTGGGCCTCAGCAAGGGGAATTCTGGCACAGCTGATCTATGTACGGCTGATTGTCGGGAGGGGAGAAAAAAGAAAGAAATAGCTTAGGCGAACGTCAGGCGGGTGGGGTGAGTGAGCATCAGGTGGGAGGGCAACCAGGTCGGGGGTGTGGCCAGCCAGAACTTACTACCGGTTCAGCGACCAATGCCAAATCCTTGCTACCAGTTCACCCGATCACTGAACTAGACCCTGCCTTACTGCAGTAGCAGATAGATTAATCTGGTTTAGTATAAGTTAATATCACAGGAAGGATATCCTTTGCTATTTTGAAATTAAGGCAACTTTAGCCATCTACCTGCAATTATATATACATACATACATACATATACGTATACGTATATGTATATGTATATGTATATTATATATATATTAATTTGCAGGGAAAGGTGTTTTTCATTCTAAAGGGAACATGATGCTTGATATATTAAAAAAGTAGTCTCCAACCTCTGGTCATTGAACTTACACTCGTCCGCGGCATGCCAGAAACTGGTCCATGCAAATAAGCAAAGCCCCATCAATGGGAAGTAGGCAGCACACAAAACTATACTTCCTCCAGACCGCAGAAATAACTCTTTCCATGGAATTGGTCCCTGGTGCCCAAAAGGTTGGGGGCCACTGTATTAAAATATCTTTAAAATAGATTCCCTATTAGACAACGATGCTGAGAAAGATTCAATTTTATATTTATGAAATCCATGTAATATTGGAAATGATCAAAGTAAAGTAATCTGCTTTGCTTGAAATAATATCAGTAAAAATCTATTACACTTTTAAGTTGAAAATATTAAATATTCTATTATCTGAGGTATATAAAATCTTTAACACTATAAACACTGGTTGTTTCCACTTAGAATGCTTTTGTCAAGGTGAATGCAGCATTAGAACAATCATGAAGTCAGAGCAGCCCTTTGTGAAAGTGATATTTTTTCCCAACTGAAAAGAGAGATGTTAATTTCGGAACATTTCGAATTTGAAAGTCTGTGGAGATTCTCAGTCATCCAGGTCATAATCGTTGCAAAGATGCTTCTTTTTTTCTCAAAAGGAAACTGGAATTTCTTGTTTTTCTTTGAAGATGTTTTGTTTCTCATCCTTTTCAGAAAAAAAAGCACCTTTGGGATTTCAAATTTGAAAAATGTGCATTCCTACTGCAATCATCCTTTCAGAATGTATACTCTGAGTATTTCTGTAATGAAATGTTTTCTTCTTGAGTAAAACTTGGTGAAACACTCGCTTCTAGATCAGTACTTTTAGCATGGACAATTTCCGAGAACTTTGAACTCCTGAATTGTCAGCAATATCCATGCTGATGGGAAATTCTGGAAATAAATTTCTGGAAAAATTGCTCAAGTAAGGAAATGCTGAAGTAGGTCCTCAAGAGAATAAAGATATAAATATTAAGCCAACTATAGGAGGTGACCGGGCTGAGCCCATGGGTAGAGTCAAACACATCATCAGTTTGGAGTTGCTATGCTACCATCAGAGACTTCAAGTCCAGTGGACTCCATTTACTCTTATCTATCACTACTTTATCCTGGTGCTTTAATAGATCAGATTCTTGTGTTTAGGTAGCATGGAACAAATTTGTAGCACTTTTGAACTCTGTCCCGGTTCTTGATTTCTTGTATCTGACCGAAAGATTAGTTCTAGTAAATTCAAACTTTTTCTTTACTTTCCAGATATAAGTTGGGTGATTATAATGGAGAGATCATGTCTGAAATAATGGTACATCGACAGCCTATGAAGCCTACTTATACTATTCCTGTTGGAATAGTTCCTAATAGCACTCAATTTAAACATCAGGAAAATATGGAAATGAAGGAATTTAAAATAAACAAGGTGACTCTATCTATTATAGATATTACTCTTTTGGGGGGGGAAATGCTGTGTTGTAATTCTATGCTATAAATGTGCTTAAACCATGTAAGTTGTCCTTAATTTCATTCCAAAAAACTTCAAGATAACTCTAGGTAGCTACCTCTTGCCACTATGGTAAATAATTTTGATAGTCCATTATGTTGAAGCTTCCTATGAAATAATCCTGGTTGATCCTGAAAATCTAAGCAGAGACCTTGTCAGTATTTGAATGCGAGATCACCAGGAAATCACAGGTTGTTTTATGGTTTTGATTGTGAAGTTGGAAAAAAACCCAAAATAATTCTTATTAGAAATAATTCATAAAGTCAACCATGATTTACATCATTTTGAAAAAGAGCTTACCTGATTCGATATTAGTTAAGGAAAAATCCTTCTTTTCCTCTTGTTTATCACGATGCATTTTTTAAAAAATATTCTAAAACTTACATCTTCTCCTAACTGTTATAATGTATGCCACTACATAAAATTATTAATGTATTTTCTCTACATGCAGCAAGAGAAAGCTGATGCTATACGGCCGAAGAGAAAATACGAGAAGAAGCCCAAAATTGTACCTTCATCTGCTGCTATTGCTTCTCAGCAGACAATTCCTGCTCCACTGCCAATCTTTAATGCTAAAGATATGAATCAGTACGACTTTCCCAGCTCTGATGAAGATCCTCTTTCTCAAGTATGACATCTGCAGTTTCTTTGGTTCAGAGGGAAGAAATATTCTTGCCTCCTTTTTCTTACCTATTGCTTTCTTTTTAAAGATCTTTTCTGGCTCTTCTGAAGCTGAGGAAGAAAATGATCCTGATGGGCCATTTGCTTTCCGTAGGAAAACAGATTGTCAGTATTACGCTGTAAGTCTCAAATTTCTACAGTATTATATTGTTACACTATACTAATCAAATTCTTGTTTTAACTGTTTTCAAATATTTTTTTTCAAAGCCTCATTTAGACCAAACTGGTGACTGGCCTTGGAATACTCCTAAAGGGAGAACATTAGGAGATGAGCGTTATAGATATTGCTTGACCACCCTTACTAGGCCGCAAAAGTGCATTGGGTTTTCACGTAGACGGGTTGGACGTGGTGGAAGGTAGGCTTATTTATCTTAAAATTCACTACAATAATACCATATAATATATGCACATTGAAATGTAGTAAATGTTTGCTCAGTTACTTAATTTAGTACATAAATTTTAATTAGACATCTATATTCTTAATCTATATCTTTGACTTGATTATGATCTTCGCCCTTCTGTTTATAGAAAGTGTTATAGTGACTTTGTTCTTCTCTTTCCTCCTTGAATCCATGATTTTTAGAGGCAAGCATTAATCGTATTTTTTATGTCATTGCACTCTATAAGTTACCTGAAAATAATGGGGAGATCCTGAAAACCTGTGATAACAATAGTTCATGGGTATGATAGTTTAGGTATGATGGTTCATCCTTTTTGAGTATAGATTCTTCCCTGTAGATCTGTGCAACTTCTGCTTAAAGGTGTACATGCATTGAAAGTTTTCTAAGATCTTTGTTTATGTACATAACCAGAAGCTTCGAAGCAACTTGATTTCCATTGGTATAACTTTTTTCTAACTTTTTTCTGTATAAAAATCTACATTAAATTACATCAGTAATTTTTACGATAAAGATTCTGTGGTAAAATAGTAATTAATCTTGTATAGATTCGTTTGCAAAGAGTAAACTGTAACATATTGATTTTAGTATGTAATAAGTTATTTTTCTTAAAGAATATTATCCAGCTAATCTGGAATCTTCAGCAGTGTTTTATTTCATAAAAATTAGATGTAAAGGTATTTCACATTGCTACTAGTGCAGATGCACCACAACATGGAAGGTATACCGTATATACTCGAGTATAAGCCGAGTTTTTCAGCACATTTTTTGTGCTGAAAAAAAAAACCTCGGCTTATACTCGAGTGAGATTCCCATCTGAAAAAAAAATGGTGTGGAGCTCCGGAGCTGGGCAGCAGCTTCCCTGCTTCCGTGTTTCCTTTGCAACTTTTAAGCATGGGGGTAATCGGAAGCAGAAAAGTTCTTGCATGAGGATATAGTTTTTTCTTTTTTTAACTGTTTTTAGGGAGGGGGAAGACCCACCGCCATGTGAGAATGCTCAGACACGAAATCTATCCGCCCGAAAATAAGTGTGTGTGGGGGGGAATTTTAACAGAGGGAAGATGTAGGGAGAAGGCAAAAGCGACGGAAGATCCTTCAGGGGAAACTGAGGGGGAGAATCACCCTTGGTCCAGATGAGCCCCCTTCCCCGCCCCTAAGGAAGCAGAGGCAGCCAGCAAGGGCAGGCAAGCCCCACTTCACGGACTCCGTCCGTCCTCGCTCCCACCCACCCAAAGCCATGAAGTCCCCCAATCACGCAGCCCAGAATCGCCCTCCCCTCAGGGGGCAGCAACGATGCCTGGTGTTTCCCGAGACAAGAAGCTCCACCGTGCAATGAAAGCGCCCTGGCTCTAGGCTCAGAAAACAACGCGAGCCGAGGTCGCTTCGGCTCCGCTCAGCTTCGTTTCCTCAGCCCCAGCTGCTTTCAGTCCGCTTGGGAGGAGGGGGAGGAGGTGGCGGCGGCTCGTGTTGTTTTCTGAGCTCTAGGCTCGCGGGCTCAGAAAACAACGCGAGCCGAGGTCGCTTCGGCTCCGCTCAGCTTCGTTTCCTCAGCCCCAGCTGCTTTCAGTCCGTTCGGGAGGAGGGGGAGGAG